TTGCAACCTTAAACAAACCAATTAAGGTATATAGGAATAATATAAAGTTCACAACCCTTCAAATTACGAAGGTTGTGTGTGTGTGTATGCGTCCGTGCATGTGTGTAAGTTCACAACCCTTCAAATTACAAAGGTTGTGTGTGTGTGTATGCGTCCGTGCATGTGTGTAAGTTCACAACCCAAATTACAAAGGTTGTGTGTGTGTGTATGCATCTGTGCGTGTGTGTAAGTTCACAACCCTTCAAATTACAAAGGTTGTGTGTGTGTGTGCATGTGCATGTGCGTGCGTGTGTGTCGCAATGGCTTTATTTAATTTTCATTATGATTGATATTTTACATTCCCTATATTCAAAGAAACTTGTACCCCAATATTCATAAGAATTGCCTGTTTATTTGTGAACTTGTGATCTTGGCAACATTTGCTTACATTTTAGGAAATTTTACTTTCATTGTTTAGTTTGATGAATTGAGTTTATCATTCCTTTTCGATGGAGTAGATTCCCCTCCTTGAAACTAACAAGCTGTTGTGTTCTTGGCTCCCATCTTTGTTGATAAAAAACTTAATGGGAAACTGAAAAGAAAACTGGCAGGAAAGATGTGGTTTACTATGTCCACAGGACCACAGGAGAAGATGGCAAAAATTCAATGGTCACCAAGACAGCTTGCTTACAAGTTCTCTCTATATGGTTTTCTTCCCCAGCGAAGAGATAATATATTTTTACCATACTCTGTTTACTCCTCAAGAAACCCTTTTTCTCACAGGCCCGTAGTTTTTTTCTCTGAGATTTTCTCTCGCTAAGTTAACCTGAAACCTAGCAACAATGGGCTTATGTACCCATCACAAACAAAAGGGAAAAGATAAATGGCAAAAATATCCTTCATGAGTTAGGATTTTACAATAGAAAGAAAAGGAGGAGAGAGAATTCAAGACCACCCAGCATACAAAAATCTCCACCTTGAATTGAGTTCAAATTGACCCATTTGAAAACATCTTCAAGCTTCTTATCCAACACTCCCTTAAGGGTGCGCACCCAACATCTTGGGCATGTGGTAAATAAGTTCAAAGCACAGCTTGAACTTCTCCTCTAGGATGGGTTTGGCTAGCATGGCATGTCTACAGCATAAAACTTCGTGTCAGTTTTACAAAAGTATACCTTCTTCAATGTCCTTGCTATTACTTCACATCTGCTTGATGTTACACTTTGGCTATCGCAATACATTTTTGGTTTATCATGTATTAACCCAAAGTAATTCACACAACCGTTCAACTATAAAACTTCCATGATTGCGTCTCGTGCTACCATGTACTCTGTTTCAGTAGAGGAGAGAGCAATTAATTGCAATGATGATTTCCAGCAAAATAATTCACCAACAAGATTGAAACATAACCAGTAGTGGACCTCGTCTTGTCAAGATCCTCAGCAAAATTAACATCCCTAAAACCGACTAGATAATCTTTCCTTATAGCATTCTTATCAAATATAACGCAAGTATCCGTGGTACCTTTCAAGTACCAAAGTTTCTGTTTAATTCCTCCCAGTGTTCCATTCTTGGATTTCTCATGTACCTGCTGTCTGACCTGTTATAGACCATTGCATATATGGTGTTACTGCTCTAACATTTGGAACATGTGCCATATATTCCCTATCTTCATATGTGCTAGGACATAAATCTGCAGAAAACCTAAAGTGAGCAGCAAGAGGTGTACTAGCAGGTTTCAATGATCACTTATATTAAACCTTTAGATAGCCTTCTCAATAATTATTTTTGATGATAACCACAAGTTCTCTTTCTTCTGTCTCTATAGGTTTCCATACCTAAATTTTCTTTGCATGCCCTAGGTGTTTCATTTCAAATTCTTTTCTGAACTGAGGTGTTAAGTTATTTATATCTAACATACTTTTTCCAGCAATCAACATGTCTTCCACTTATAATACTAGGATTGTAAATGCACCACTATGGATATCTTGAATGAAACACAAAAGTTATACTTACTTTTGGTGTACCCATGCTTTATCATGAACATGTTGAATCACTTGTACCATTGTCTAGGAGATTGCTTGAGGTCAGTATCTTCTTTTCCAATTCCCATAAAGCCCTCAGGCTGGTGTATGTAGATTTCTTCATCTAGATTTTCATGTTGAAAGGTTGTTTTCACATCTAATTGCTCTAGATATAATTATGCAAAGTGACTATAACTATAAGAACCTGAATAGAAGTATATTTAACCACTGGTGAGAAGATATAATTGAAGTTTATTCCTTCTTTTTGGGCATAGCCCTTCCCCACCAGTCATCATTTGTACTTATCTCCACCTTATTTCATCTTGAGGACCCAGTTGTATCCAATTGCTTTCCTCCCCTTTGTTAGATGAACTAGATCCCATGTCTGGTTTTTGTGAAGAGATTTGATCTCCTCATTCATAGCATCGTTCCACTTGCTAACAACCCCGTCTAGTACCATCTGGAATGTGCTAGGTTCCCAACTTTCAAGGACTAGAGCTAGAGATGTATATTCGGCAAATCGGCCAAGGAAGTTGGTCTTATGCTCTTTTGAGATTTCATCATGCTCTACAATCACCTTATCTTCTTCATTTGGTTCTTTGGACGCATATCAATCGTCACCAATTGCTGCATTCTCGTGCTTGAATTTATCATGGTGGACTCATCAAAGTCAACCTTCTTGCTCAAAGAAATTGTGTGGATTTAGGAGCCCATAGCTTGTAGTCTTTTACACCATCACCACAATCAAGAAATATACATTTATTTAATTATGGGTCGATAATCATCTGGTCACATTTAAGGTGAACAAATATTGGCCATCCAAAAGTTTTACGATTGGAATAATCAGATGGCTTCCCATACCTCTTCAGCTATCTTGCTTCTTATTACTTTGGATGGCGATTTGTCACCATGTGGTACACTGTATTGACTTCTTCAGCCCAAAGTCCTTATGCATACCAGTGCTACTAAGCATACGGCTCACTTTCTCAAGTATTATTCTGTTCATCCATTTTGCACCATATTTTCCTATGGAGTATCATAATGGTTAAGTGATGATTGATTCCTTAATTCCTTTTATGTGGATTCCCCACCATTTTATGTCCTCAGAGGTTTTACCTAGTATTCTGCTTGGTTTTTCTACCATTGCTTAAAAGTAATATAAACATTAGAATTACTCATAAGCACATATTGCCATACTTCTCAAAAAGACAAAAATAAAGAAAAAAAATATAAATTTCCACGTTTTGATGCAATAGGAGAAGGTCCCCCAAACATGTTAGTGAATGTAATCTAAGATCCCCTTACTTCAGTGATGGGTAGATTTAAAGTGCATTGTTTACCATAAATGACATGCCCACAAAAGTCTAAGTTGCAGGCTTCGTACCTCTTAACAGTTGCCTTGAGCAAATTCCTTTAGGCCTTGTTCTCTCGTATGACCCAAACGCATATGCCATATAACTATACCTGATTCACAGGATTCATATTAGAAATCTAGTACTAGATACACCTACTTCACCTGCAATTTTTATACCCAGCAACCTGTAAATATTTCAATATTTTTCTTCCTGCATGATGACCAGTGCTCCCTTCATCTTCAAAATGTGCCTCCCAACACTCATTTACATCCAATAGTGTCTAGAACACCCAAGGAGTTCAAATTCTTTTTTTAGTTCAGGTACACTGTGCCTTCACCAATTGACTTACAAGGCATGTTGTTCCCCATTGAGAAATTCCCACACCTTGGAAAAAGAATCTATGCCTCAAAAAAATAATCACCACATGTATGTACTTATGGAGAGTACATTCCCAACATTGCCATCAGAACTCTCGTCTGCAGATCTTTCTCGGTCAGTCTACCTCTCCCCTCACCTTGTTTATGAGCTTTTTGCAGCCCTTCTTAAGATTACTTACCTTAATAGTATCTCACCTTTTCTTTTCCTATCTTCAGCCTAAATGTACCCCTAGACAATCCCTTCTCCATTAATCTTCCCTAATTACCAAGGCCTCTGCAGATGCCTCATTAGTGGGCCGTTTCCTCATCTCATCTGATAAGAGTACTCCAGTAACCTCCTCTGTGTTTATGGTATCTTTACCATACATTAGGGCCGCAGCCAGATGATCATATGAAGAAAGAAGTGAAGTCCAAAGCAAGAGGGTGTTGCTTCAAGTACAAGCGATTTGAGAGAGACATTTTCTCAATCTTTAACTAAAGTGCAGATACTGAATCTTCATCTACCATACCCATATTGTAGAGGACTTCTTCAGAGAGGCACATGTGAATATGTTGGCAGCCCTCACATTCATTAACCCAATCTTCTTTTGACATTCTTGTAGTCTTTTTCCTTGAGGCTTTGCGTAACCTGTTGTATCAATAGGTTCCTCATCTTCCTCTTCCATATTGTAACCATGTCTCCTGTCAACATACTCCAATTTCGCATTCAAGGTTTCCACTGTCGTTCCTAACCTGGCTTGGATACCACCTGTTGAGAAAAATGAGTCGGAAAGCGAAAATAAAATCAGCAGAATAGATGATCAAACCACACACAAAGGCAAGACCGGATTGGTGTGGTGCACTTCTTTACAAAAGCGCTGTGTATGGGAGAAGATGGCCAATTCCACTAATCACTGAAAAAGCTTGTCTATGGGTTCTTTGTGCTTTTCTTCCTTCCAAAGCAGAGAGAAGAGAACATAATTTTTTCTGCTCTGTGTTTTCTTTTTTCAGGAAACCCCTTTTCGTAAAGTTGCCTGGGTTTTCTTTTTGCCTTGTATGTTCTTTCTCTAACTTATCCCTTGCAACAATTGTCTTAAATACCCATCCTAAACAAAGGGAGAAAAATATATGTCAAAATACCCTTTATAAGTTTGGGGATTTACAAAAGAAAGAGAAAGGGAGTGAAGTTAAGACACCCCACATCCAACCTTCTTACCCTATAATCACACTGGTAGACCAGTAATGACAAGCAAGTTCATGGCAACCTTGTGCTAATATGCTCGATGTCATTGTTCTCAAATCGCATAGGTCTTGCTGTGCGAATTATGCATTTCACAAATTTGCTTTATTTTGTTAGCTCTGGTCTGCTCAAACATACCTTCCCACAATACCTCAAAAGATTTACATTCTCCTCCATATTCTAATCACTTTGATTGCTGCTCTCAATACCCTTCAGCCATGGATTTGAACTTTTTCTATCTCAAAGCTCTCATATTTGTATCTCATAAAGCATACCATGTAAAAGGTGATTACTTATTTCACAAAAATTAGATATTGCAGTTAGATAAACATTGAGAGAGAACACAAGTTGTGGAACACTAGAATTCCAGTTTTAGTTAATGCAAATTGAGTCTTACAAAGTAATGTTGTGCATCTATGAAACATGGACACGCATGTCTGACGGTCTACCCACATGCTGACACAGGTGACAACGACATGCGTTTCTACACGTCTAGAAATGGATGGGACACCCCAATTGAGTCTCCAATAGAGTGTCTCATTTTTGGACATATTTGTTTTTAGAATGTGGCATTTCTTTGTTTAGAAACACCATTCTTTGTTTAGAATGTGGCCTTTCTTAGGAATGGACTAAGGCATTGGTGGTTAGGGTGGTGGAGTGTCATAATATGACGTTTTGAGTTCCATTCCTACTACACGTTGGGGACCCCTTCGCTATTGATCTACCAAAACAAACACCATTTTTCAATAAAGAATATTTAATTTTGAAATAAAAAATATTTCAAAATAAAATAATAAAAACTTGGCCATGTTTACATATGTCGATTTTGAAACACCTATTCTTCATGAAACTTTTTATTTATTTTCAAAATATACAAAATTTAAGCCCATTTTCATTTTTTAAACAAAGACAAGTGTTCGTGCTTAAAGAAGTCAATTTTGAGATGCCTAATTTACATAATTCAATTTGAAAAAATTATCCGTGTTTACATTTATTATGATGCAACCTTGGTTTGGACAATAAGAACATTTTATGGTTTATTAATTTAATTTAATTTTCTGTGATGCTTTGCTATTGTTTTGACATATGAATTGTAGTATAATTAAAGGCATATGTCTATTACACATAATTTTCAATATATGTCTGTATATACATATTCATACATGTATACACCCATATATTGTACAGAGTTGTTGTGTCTAAATAATGTGTTTTGTGGTTTGTGATTATACTCTCATTTGTGTCACAAATATACTCACTTATCCACTTGTATGTAACATAGGTGTGCACTGAGTTAAGTTTGACTGTTGGTGAATATATAACTTCGATACATCGACTACATAATGCCCTCCTTTTTAATCATTTCTATATTTTTCGGTATTTGTTCTGTAGGACAGTCGAAGAGTTCAATGCTGGCCATGTTGAAGGGGCAATAAACATCCCCTACATGTTCCGTGTAGGAGCAGGTACAATGTGTTTCAAAGATATATATGTTTTCTATGAGTTCTTAGATTGATCTAGCAATTTCAATTTGTACTGCAATATTCTTATCCTGATTTTTGGAATGTGTAACATACTCTTTGAATTAGGTATTTTGATGATGTTGAATGTTAAAGCCTGATCTATTAAGGAGGTGGATTGTGTTAGGTAGGCAGCCAGCGTAAAACTTTGCCACATCTTATCATGAATCCTGAACCTATACTAAGGGTATGCCCATTGATAGATAAGAAGGGAGGTACGGGATTCATGCAGCCGATCCCAAATAATTGGAATAAGGCTTGGATGATGATGATGATGAATGTTAAATCCAATATGCATGTGAGGAATCTCTTGTCTTAACCATAGGATTTTCGCATGAAAAATCGAGTAGAAATTAATGTCATCATACCCTTCTCCATCCAACATCTACGACTCTATGTTTCCTGCCTCTTTCCAAAGAAAAAAGAAGAAAAGAAAAAGAAGTAGTTCCTGCTCTTGTTGCAATAAAGGATGCAAAGGTAAAAGAGATGACTAGTTTGTCGAGTAACATAAACCATCTGTTTCATGCATACATGCCTCAAGGACTGTTTACGTGTTGTAGGAACTTTTGTGAGTTTTAATTGTCACAGATGCATTAAATCTTAGTTGCTTTCCATATTCCATGTATTGCCTGAGATCTTGTGATATTTACAAATAATTCAGTGTTCCATGTTTCTGTGTGTTGGCAAAATCTCTAGCATGCATGTTTACAAAGCCAGGATATTAATCACATCCCACCATGCATATTGTATTCCTTATGTTCTATAAGTACAAATAATTTATAGTGGTTAATGATCTTGTTTGAATTTATTTATCAATCAGTGCAGGAAGTAGTTAATAACATTTGGTCTGTTGTGTGACTATAAACCATGAAAGGTTGCTTCATTGTCAGGGACAAGGCCATACATGCATCAGGGTACAAACTTCATCTGTGGTGTATGCTCCTTTGTGGCTCAGATTGAGACCATGTAACACCAGCATGCTTTTGGGGCTTGGCCAATTAGTTGTTTGTCATATGTTTCCCCTGGGAAGGGGGGCAGGGGTTGGTCTGGAGAGTTATCTAAAGCACCCTAAATGTGCTTTAAATGGAAAATCAGAAATGAAAGGATGAGAGTAAAAGAAATTATTTTCTTAACAAGATCATGTGTAGATCTTGAATGAAATTAGTACTTTTCAGATACATTGAGAGCTGGGACTCCTGGTGTGATTAGGCAAATATAATGTGGTTAAAACCTCCTGTGCCAGATTGAATACTTGTGAACACACATCAATCTAATGCTGATTAGTCCACCATTCACGCCAATGTAATATTCTTATCTTTTCGATTCCTTTTTCTACTTTTCTCTTTGAGCTTTTGGGCCACTTAGAGGGGTGCTTAATTTATCATTGTTTTCATGGCGTTGTAACATTTATTTAAGCTGTTAATTCAACTTCTTATTGGGATCAATGACTGTAACTTTAAATTCCTATATGGAAATGAGAAGGTAATAAATTCATCCTACTGTTGTGAAAAGTAGGTATTCATTTCCCAAAACCTTAAAAGTGGAATGCCTTTGAGAGGGTTGATCTTTTCAAGTAAATGGGTTTAGCTTGCTTCAAGTTCTTTGTTGGTACAACTTTGCATTGTGCTACATGTTCTTATATTCTATTTATTACTGCTTCTTTTGATAAAGCGCGCATTTGGTCTTGACTACTTCTTGATAGTTATTGTATTGGCTTAAAGTTATATTGTATGATATAAGATGCGTACTTACCACTGTAAATGGCAATACATACAGCTAACATGATATTGCATGTTATGATAATATTCTAGTGCAATTTGAATTGCATATAATTTTTTTATTTACCATCGGAATTGGGTGAGTCTTGTTGCAATTCAGTAACACTGGTTTTTGCCCAGTTATATTCCTTTGCTATTTATATTAGGAATGAAAAAGAACCCAAATTTCTTGGAGGAAGTATCAGCACAGCTTGGACAGGATGATGAGATAATCATTGTGAGTACATATGCTTGAATTTTTTTTTTTGGTTATATTGGACTTAGTTTTTGGCTCTTAAGAAGTGATATGCTTCATGCTTATTTGATAGGGATGCCAAATTGGGAAGAGATCACTCATGGCAGCAACTGATCTTTCATCTGCGGTATGTACCTTGAAACTAGAATCTCCGTTCTGAGCTTCTAGATTGGTCTTATTTCTTAAATGTAAAAACCAAAATGTAGTTGTAGGTTGAGTAGTAGTAGCTTTTCAACCACACATGAAACTCCTATATCACTAGAAATGATGTCAAATTCTTCTTCATAATCTTGTTGGATGAACTAGTCGACATGCCAAAACTCAAGAAATGCATTTATGCATTTATTGGGCTTTGCCTGAAAGAGATATTGACATCAATAGGACCTGAGCTTGTTTTATCTCAAATGGGGAAAGTAAGGTTATATCATTTTTAAAGTGTAGAGATGGAGTATATCGAATATCATAGAGCACAGTCAAATGTCTCATGAGAGACTTCTCTTGAAGTGCAAATGATAGTATTCTTCATGGTTATTCGGATGCAAGTTGCATGGCAGGATAAAAGGATAATTTGTGGCTGCTGCTTGAGTGCATACTTTAATGGGTACTATTGATTTGATGGTGTAGATCACAGGCAGAATGTCTCTAGATTATGTAAAGAATCTAACCATTACATGCAGTTACTAACAGGGGGACGCTTAAAGTCTTGCCTAAGAGAATTGGATTTTGGCTTCTTTGTTTTTTTTCAAAGTCATCAGAGTTACGATGTTACGATGCGCAGTATCTCCCAACAAAAAAGAAAATCTATAGCAACCTTTTTCGTCAATGTCATCAGATGGATTCGAGTAAATGAAAGCTAATGATCATTTTATCATAGTTATTATTAAGGATATTTAGGGGTTTGTACTGTTTATCCATTTCAAGCTCAGAATTTTGAAGTTTTAAAAAATTCTACATTATTTTGCAGGGATTCACAGGTGTAACTGATATTGCTGGAGGGTTTTCGGCATGGTTACAGAGTGGCCTTCCTCTAGCATAGGCTCTCTCTAATATACACACAGATGCATCTTTGTATGTTGCATAATGGTTATCCTACTTTCTCATGGACTGTGTTGTTGGCAAGAGTATCAAGCTAGATTTCCAACCCACTTTCTAGTCTTTGAGTTCATATATTATTCACTAATAAATAGAGGTGAAACTGATAAGTCCATTCACCTAATATATCAAATATTACAGAAATCAACCGCATATAAGAACTCTGAATATATGGACCTTTCTCTTCGTCCAAGTTTTATGTGGGCAAGTGAAAAATATTCAATTGCTTGGTATTAATCTTATCTTTATCCAAATTTAAAGTGGCAAAGTGAAAAAGATTCAAGTGCTGCTCTCTCTCTCTC